ATATATATATATATATATATATATATTGCTGTTATCTTATTCTTAGTATGGTGAGGTATCATGTTATGTTACGTTCACTGGCCCACTTCTACACAGTTTTTCATGTCCTCGAGACAAATGACTGCATATTTTGTGTAAAATGTGAACCCCTGCTAGTTCCAAAAAATGCTCATTATTGAATCTCTTCTACCGTAAATCCCAATAAAAAGAAGTCCAAGGTGAATAATATCAGGGTGGACAGTGCACTCAAAAAGCTTGTAACAATCAGTCATATCATTGACAAAGAAGAATATGTTTTATGATGCGGAAAAATTATAGTGATTCTCTTCTCTAGAGTGGAGTGATATTATGGCCTGAGATATACAGTAGCACTGCGCTTACAGTTGAACAGGACATCCATTTAATAAAGTATGTACTTATCTAAGTTACCATGGTGACTGCTACAAATAAAATGTTTATCTTGTTCAACCAATCCAAACAAGAGCCGGCTGAGAGCAGTCAGTTCAATATAACTATGAAAAGATTACATCATTTAGTTTTTTGTAGCTAAAATGTAGATTATAGATTTGTCATTTCAAGGTCAAAGCAGCTCACAAATAGCCATGTGTATTTGACACTGATGGGAAGTATCAGCAGTCAGTATCATGGCATGAGTTTATAAATGTAATCAGCGTCTCTCAGCTGCTGTAACTGAGCCTCTCCAACATGTCTGCTGATGCAGGAGAAACACTGCAAGACACCCGAGGGGGAGAGGGTGCTGCCTTTTAAGTTTTAGACTTGATGCATTAAAAGAAGATGGGGAGATGATACAGCGATGTGTTTACACCATGTTTTACTGGAAGCTACTCCACGCGTTGTTTTGCAAAAGGTATGACTGATGTACATGAATTCATACCACTAACAGGGTGTTTGGTGTTATGCTACACCATCCAGCTTTTAAAAGGTGTCACGGTGCAGACTGTCCAATGCTTTTTTTGGTGAGCTTAATGTATAGTCTATGGTTTATAGTATGATACATTATGAATGCCAGGAGGCACTGTGAAGGTGAATTACTTGTTTAAGGATGAAGGATACCAGATGCTCTGACATACTTAGTTTATTGTCTGTGGCTTTAACGTAAGTGAATACATGTGGCTTTGGTCTAGTCGCCAGCTGTTTCATACTCTACTTAAATAGTGTGCTACCTTTCAAATGTAGCTCTTAACTGCAGGATAAACATATCAGGGAGAACTCCCCACAAACAAATGCTTTCACGTGTTAGAAATGTTGTACAGTGCTGAACAAAATGTGTTTGCATTATTATATATTTTATAATATAATAAACGTCTACGTCATGGATGTCAGTGGCACTCAAGTTTGCTAACCTGCTGTGGAGCTTATTTTTTTTTTATCAGAGTAGACAATATTAATAAATCACAAGCACAAGCTTCTGTATAAAAGCTTACTTTATGAAGCACAGACTAAATATTCAGTAAATATGTCCTTTACATAGTATAAGCATCCTGTCAAAAAAACAGTTCCGATATACAAACAAAACAGACAAAAAGACAGATCCAATGCTGACATCAAGGTGCCGAAGTTGTCATTTTTTAAATAAAACATAACAATCAACAATATTTTTTTTGCCACGATCCTATAGTACAGCACAGGCCTACCCTAGAACATTGGGAAACAATGGTTAGCACAACAGCCAAAGTGACTATAAGGGGAAGTCTCCCTGTAAGAAAGCAGTTATTCGTCCTAACAATACGGCGTTATAAAACGGTACTTCCTCTCTGAAAACTCAGCTCCACTTCAGCATTTTGGTCTGTACAAGGATCCAGGATTCCAGCTGTGACACCAGGTTTCCAGCCAAGTCCCCAAAAGGATCTCAGATCCTGTTGTTCACTATTAATACGATATATGAAGCAACAGAGGCGCTGCGCCCAGAACCAAAGATATCATATGCTGTCGATATCCACAGTCCTGTCGACATGCTTCTGTGCCACACCGAGGCTGAGCGAGGGGCCGCTAAGCTCACTGATCTACAGTTGTGTCATATAAGCAAATTACGAAGAAAGAGAAAAGGTGTGTGTGTGTGTGTGTGTGTGTGTTTGGGCGGGTTGTGATCAATTAAGGTGCTCACAAACAGCGGTACCGCCACCCCATCCCCACTTCCTCGCAACGTTACGCAAGTCCTCCTTCCGTGTGTGTTCCTCTGTTTGGAAAAACGTGTGCTGGATGTCTGTTTTGCCTGTTCTTGGCTGGCCGAGTCGGTCTTACTTAGAAAACCAAACCAGCCTCTTCCCCTTCTTAGAAAACATGTTTTTTCTCTCCTCCTCCTCCCTCTACGTGGAGGATGTTTTGATGGCTACTCTGCTGGTGGAGTTGTTTTCGCTGCTCCCCTCTCCATTCCAGTATGCTGACGGGTTTCTCGACTTTAGCACGTTAAGCTGGAGCAGTCCCGCTGCTACACTCTCCAATCAGCCAGTCTCTGCCTAACGTAGGCCGGGGCCTACTTTCCCCCAAAAACATCTTCAACTGAAGGATGGCAGTGGAGGGAATTCACCAGTACCAGTAAATGCCCAATACGAGGCCAAGCAAGCTACGATCGGTCCATGTTAACATGTTATAACCCAGGACACTGATCGGTCTGATTGTGTCTTATGCAGCTGAAGGCCATCGGATTGATTCTCACCAAACATGCTCAATAAATTCTTCATAGAAAAACATGACCCTGCTATATTTACTTCTTCCTGTTGAACCACAGCTTCGACAACTCAAACTGGAGCTACTTAAAAACAGCATGCCGATGCGCGCACACACACACACACACACACACACACACACACACACACACACACACGGGAGAGCGGCTGACCCACTCGTACGGTACGCATCCCACCCACACTTTCCTGCTCTGCCCTTCACCCGGTTCTTCAGAAACCTAACACCCAACCATATATCGTTACTCATCAGCTGTCGTGATGCGAGAGGAGCGGTTTTGTGGGATGAACGTGGCACAGTGCTTCCATTCAGTCACACACCGTCATCCTCCTCAGTCCGGTTTTGACTTGTTAGAAAGACGAACGGCATGACTGAATGCATGTCAGTATTTGGGGTAGCGGCAGATTAAAAAAAAAAAAATCACAGACACAGACTTGTGATCTCTCTCTGACTGACTCACACTCTCTAAATCCCTCAACAGCAAGAGTCAATGTGCCCTTGAGTAAGGCACTCAACCTCCAGCTCCTCTGGTGGAGCAGCTTAGCACAGTTAAAACCGCGCTCATTCCACTCGGCAGCTCCTTCACGCTTACAAATGTACGCAACTGCACGAACGTCGAGACAGAAAATCGCTGAAAAAAGAAAAAGGAGCGAGCACGCTCAGTGTAAACCCGTCCCGGGGTGAATAAAGGTTTGGAGACTTAAATAAATAAATAAATACGCTATACATGGCAGGGACTTGATCCTTCTGAGAAGCTCTTTTGAGAGTTTTCTTTTGTAACTCTGGGACAGATATGTCGTATCTTCACACACCACAACGTAGGTCCGTACACACGCCTGTGGAGCGGCTGGGTGCGTAAACATGGGTGGAAAAAGAAAAGGAAAAAAAAGGCCAAAATGCTACAGTAGTACCTTCTCCTTCTGCAGGACGAGGACAGAGAGGACAAAGCCAAACCGGTCTGTCTCTCCTTCTTTGTTCTCCGTCTGGCCCTTTGACAAATACATTACAAATCACTCGAAGCTCTGCTCATAACTAAAAACACATTTCATCTAAAGACAACTGCATCGCTCTGAGTTTCATTTTAAAATAATACTGAATGACGTTATAAATAGTGATCACAGTTATGATCATTTTGAATGTGCAATAATCAAAGTTCAAGGGACTGAGGTTTGGCAGGGTCACTTGTTGGGTATCAAGCACGGGCTCTTGGTCCTCTTCATCTATTGCTCAAGGACAGAAACCTATCACCAGGGCGGATACATTCTGGGAAGGAGAGTGACATTTCTCCTGTTTCTTACAGTACGTAAAACAGGAGGAGTCCAAAAACACAAAATACTAACAGAAAAGCCCACTACTGGTCCTCCCTTCCTCCCCTCAGGTCCTCTGTCCCGAGGCGGTGCAGCCGGCGGCCCTCCCGTTCAGCCCGCCGTGAGCCTGACTGATGGACGGGGAGGACTGCGTCTTGCGGAGGAGGCACTCGCGGCCGGCCAGGCCCCCCTCCATGATCAGGCCCCCCATCACGCTGGCCTCGATCTTCTCGAGGTCGTCCGTTTCCGCTCGGATTTTGGCCTGCAGGAGGCTGATGTAAGTCTCATAACGAGTCTTCTGCTCAGAGAGAGGGGAGAGGAGGAGGAGGAGGAGAGGGAAAGTGAGATTAAAAGAGGATGAAAATGAGACTAATTGCCCTAAAACTCACCTCACAACTTTATTCACGCTAGCATGAAAATATAGTCTGTATTTGAGTGTAATATTGAGCTTGATTGTGGCATTAAAGGGGCAGTTTGGGGGTTTTGTAAGTGGGGTTTTATGAGGTAGTAGATGGAGATTGGAGATACAGACAGGAGTACCATCACAGGAGCGAAGCAATGTACTAAAACAATCGACATCTTTTAAAGTGTATGTTATATTTAGAATATTGTCACCACTTGATCTTGCCGTCAGAGAGCCCTTTTCGAAGGGGAACTGAAATGAAAGGGAAACTTATCCACGCTCTCTTCAAAGCCACC